TATATATATATATATATATATATATATGTATATATATATATATATATATATATATATATATATATATATATATATATATACATACATATATATATATATATATATATATATATATTTGCATCATTATATCTATATCTATACATATATATATATATAAATATATATATATGTATTTATATTCTATTCTCACATTCTTATATTCTTATATTCTTGTTTTCTTATATTCTAATCAAACAGGAGAGGATGGTCAAGTGCTCCCCCCAAGAGAAGCCTATGGTTTTATTGCATATGCTACTTAAACTGAACTTCAAGAAGGTGCTCGTGTTCACGTCTTCTGTCGATTCCACGCACAGGTATGTAGCTTCCCCTCCTCAAAACCTATTACCTGTAGGATTGAGCACACATATACATATATCTATTATATAATATATATATATATATATATATATATATATATAGAAAACATGCTTTTAGGATCTGACTCTTGTATTTATATATATATATATATATATACGTATATATATATATATGTGTGTGTGTATATATATATCTATTGGAAATAATTTTACCAGAAATCCGACTCCTGCTTATCACGAGAGTACTTTGAATACTGCAAAAATCCGGTTTGTTTTCTGTATCAAGGAAATCCAGAGGCGCCATTCTTTCGAAATAGATAATTTTGAAATTCGAACCGCTCTAGAACATAAAGATAGATTGATCGTGCTTGCAAAAACTCGTTATCCATAGTCACGATGGAATGAAGCTACTTGGTCCTGCTCACTTTTATACTGCGTTGTATATATAAGGGCATACCATACAAGTCTCTCTAGCTGTTTTGGGGTCTAAGATTTCTGCGCTTTCCAGCAAGAACCCGTCATATTTGCTGAATGTGTGAGTAGACAATGATTGAGCGTTTATTTTCTGCCATGGGATAGCGCACCTCGACTCTGTTCCGTTAGGTATGGATCATATCTGCCGGTAAATGTGTACGAACTGGAGGTTACAACCCCCGCCCTGACCAAACTTTGACACAAATGATTTACACCCAGCTTTACTTCCGAACCACCTACAGATTATATTTACTATTGAAATTGTACGGAGGAATACGCGTGGCCGAGTTCTCATCTGGACTATCGCCTACGGATAGGAAACGAATCCTTCAGAGCTTTGCACAGGATAAGATTGACGTGTATGTGACAGTTTCGTTACTTCTCAATACATGTCAGCTTTGCGAGCTTTCGGTTCATAAGGGTAGAGATATGGTTACAACGGTTCAGCCCAATACGCAATACAATTGTGTGGGCCACTTGCGTTTGCTCACGTTCTACCATGAAGTGCAATTCCCAGTGCATGTACGACACTCTCATCAATAGCACAGTGGCCCATCCGACATCAGGCACCATTACCGATTTGTTTTGTGAAGGAACTGCTCTGTACCTATGACATTGCAAGAGGGGTTGCTGTGCCAAATTTACACGATGTTGTATCTCGTGATGCTCCCCTTTGTATCGAGCCGTACGCCCACCAGACGCTCTCCGCTGACTTCCATCGCCACTATCACACCCTCACCTTACCAAACTGTCCCACACACAGCCTGATCTGTAGCGATGCCATGTCCCGAGGAATGGACGTTTCCAACGTACAGTACGTTGTCTCATACGACGCCCCGTCGTACATCAAAACGTACATCCACCGCGTGGGTCGTACTGCGCGTGCCGGGCGATCGGGAACAGCCTTCACCATCGTCAAGAGGGACGAGGTGTGTTTATTTGGCGCCGAGTTGATAGGTTTTTAGGGTTTACTGCGCTGTATTCGTGTTAGTGCACAGTGTACTCTCGTTGAGTGTGTTTTTTCTTTGAAGTGCCGAGTGGGCGAAGTTCGCTACGTGCTGTCTCTGAGCGGTTTTCCTGCTGAATATCTACTGGGAGTTGTGTATTTTATTTGCTCTCCTTAACGGCCTTAGTGACAGCCACCCGATCATTGTGCGCCATTCCATCTCTCGGAAAGACTGCGTTTTGGGTTAAGACCCAAGTTCGTAGACTGCGCTACTTGCAGTAGGTATTGTGTGGTGTGAGTGATTCGTACGTCTACGCATGCGACTGAATTCGTTTAAAGACGACCACCCTATTGATTCAGCGTTTCGAACCCCTGCTCTTGTTTCAGGTCAAGCAATTCAAACAAATGATGAGCAAGGCCGCGGGACATCGGCTCAACGAAGTCAAGATCACCCCCACTGAATTGGGGATGTATCAGGAGGACTTGAATAACACCTTGCAACATCTGCGTGTGCATCTGGAGAACGAAGAGGGCAAACTATCCGACGTGGTTGGGCAATTGAAAGGGCAAATACTGATGGCTTTGTCGAAGAGCTAGCGCTGGAATTGTGTAACTTTGTATTAATTAGAGTGCTAGCTGCGCTGATACGCTCCTTTACTATAGATATACTTCTCAAAGGAAGGCCTAATTCATGCCAGACAGAATATTCTGTGCAGAAACGCTAAAGGCCATTGGGTTTTGGGGTGACACAAGATATGGGTCACATCGTGCAATCACATCATTACATAGGCCGACGGAAAGATTGAAAGTTCTGGTTGGCTCAGTCCGATTGATCAGATTAATTGTATGTCAATTTTGGGCCATAGCTGAATTTAAGGACGTATGAGGAAACAAATATGCAAACCTTGGTCGACGAACAAGTGCTGCAACTACAACGAATTGCTGAATGTATTGTGTCGTTAGTATCTCGATGAACGAGAGTGGCTGACCAGTACTCAGTCATAGCCTTATATCACTTGCTATAGACTCATTAAATAGCCTTATATCACTTGCTATAGACCCATTAAAATCGGTAGTGCAGTGGATATATTCATGCGCTTATCGGATCATTTGGTGTCACGCCCGATGGACAAGAATTCGAATACGTTGTTTTTCTAATCCTTGACATGAAGACGTCAAAACTACAGAACTTTGTAAATTTTTTATACCAGTGGGATGCGTCCTACTAAACCTAATCAGGATTCTTTGTTCGAGCACTTGTCAACACTATTGAGATTGTAATAACCGTGGTATTGTATTAGGTCAATGACTCGATTGCATTAGATTTATAGGACCGATTGGGCTTGTGTGCGTCCATCTCGACCTTGGGGGTTGTATCTTACTTTCTTAGTGTCGGCTTGTACATGTCGTTCTTTGACTCAGGCTCTTACGATACCTCTTTGAATTAAGTTCTATACGGCTCCACAGTAAGCTTGATCATTCTAATCGGGGGAGTTTGTGTAGTCGGTAGTATTCTGGATATTAGGCTTGGTCTGCCATGAGACCTCGCTTCTTCGGGAACTTCCCTCGCATTCGAGGTAACAAGCCAAAGCTCGCATCACTAGTTTGTAACGGCTTCAAACCTCGTGTACCAGGAGTTTCGACCACTTACTTCTCCGTATTCGGGCCCTGGAAGTATTGCTATTTCATATCGAATCTCATTCTTGCCCTCCATAAAAAACGGTACATTTCCATATCATATTGGTACGCACAATACATTTCGGTATCCGTCTGGATAGTACTATTCTTTACCACTGGCAGGAGAGCCCACGCTATCTTTCCAGGTCGCCACCCGCCTACCCCGAAAATCCACAACTCACAGTGCATGGTCGTCCCAGCTTCATAGCACAAACACTGATCATCGTCCTCACCAAATCTCGCGGCACTATTTTGCGGGAGCGTCGATGCGCTTGCACGAATTGTACATGCCGGACAGGCCACCACAATCGCCGTGCTCTCTTTCTCGAGTTAGCACTGGTGTTGCTTTGAGTACACGGCAGTTCTGTTTCTGCGCATAGGTGCAGCTATGCAGAAAGCCTTTTTTTTGAATGGCGACTTGAGCAATTGGTGAAGTCTGCATACTAGCGAGGATAATGGCTGTATCTATGTGCGCTGTGTTATTGTGATACTTTGCGGTCTAAAGATATACCTATTTTTACGCGAGATATGAACTACAATCCACCTGATTTACAGGATATTCGGAAGGCGAGAAGGAGTCCGTTGAAGATTCAAAGAGGCGAACATTGTGCGGCCCATTTTTGAGTTCTGGGACCGTTTTTACAATTCAAGGATAGACAAGCGAGGATACCGTAGAATGGATCCAGAGATACTCGTGTTCTATTGAATTTAGAATCTGATATCCAGACTTCCACGGCACATATAGTGAGACAAGACCTGTGACGTATGCCCAAACAAACGTCGACCGAGTCTGATATCCAGATTACTACTGCCACTCAGTGGCCCAAGTCAGTCACCCTTCTGGGTTTGATTGCATCCCTTGAAAGTCCGCACTTGTACAATCCATGTATGCACATGCCTACTCTGGTACAATTGTCATGGCCAAAGACCAGCAAGTCCATTCATCTAGCATGTGTAAGCATTCAATAAGATGAGTGCTTTATGTAACATGACCTTCAGAACTCAGAACACCAATTTGCTTGAATGATCGCAAACGAAATGAATTATTGCGAAAATATTGTGGACCTAGGTAAATCAGCTCGGGAAGTGATACTGTATAACCATTTGTTATCAATGCCAGCAAACCAGCCTCCGTGTTTAACAGCGATTGAACGCTGTTGAATCAACATTTCATCCCACTAAAGCTAAGATATTCATGTACACTAGAAATTGTCAGACACTCACAAAATGATGACGCACACGCTTTATTTATTATTGAATCCCTCGTTCACATGACACACTCATTTCAGAGAAGAATCGGTCTTGATGTCTAATGAGTTGATGCTGATATATCACGACGTGTTGGTAGATGGACAAGTGGATACTATTCCCTTCCAGCCGGCCTCGTTCAAAGTACGATCTACCGGTGTTCCTTTGCTGCCGATTTTTTACATTGACAAATGGGGAACGACACCATAGACATGTATCTGGCATGTCTTGGCATATTCAACTCACAATAGAATTGAATGGCAAGCGTTACGAACAGAAGCGTACTCTGTCAGTCGCTTGCTCAGATAGTTCGATGGCATAGTATACGTTTTAGTTTTATGCCAAGTCCAAGGTAAACTCCAAGCGGATTTCATTTTCTTTTTCAATCTCTATTTGAAACAGCTCGATCTCCAATCCAGTAGCTGAAGAATACATCTCAGAATGGAAAACATTCAGTGAAGGGTTGCTAAATTAAGCGGCGGATTTACTCGGATACTCCCTCAAAGTATCTGATGCGAGCCATAGCGTCTGCAGAGACGAGGTTGTGATGGTTATCAGCACTTATGTAGAACGAAACCACATGCTATTTACAACGACAACAAAGGAGTTGTACAAATTGAAAAGGACTGCGAGAAGAGAAACAGAGCGCACAGTGACCACACACAAAACAAAACGAGACCTCCTCACATGTGCGCACAGTAAGAATAACTCGGATCGTACCCACATTTCCCTCAGGGGGAAATGTTATACACACATGTTTTTATAATAAACGTGGTCACTCGGCACAAACTTACTAGGTGCTCGCCGGCAGAAGCCAGCTGTAATCTTTTGGGGTTGAATTTGGCGGTTCGACATATGCTCTCGTGTCCTTCTAAAGACACTACCAGCGTGTTCGTCTGCCAATCCCATATATGTATGAAGCCCTCATCCGAACCTAAAGGCATGGCGGTAATGATGCGTAAGAAATAAAGTACAACGCACACCTAGTTGTATACAATCACGCATCAACTGATTCCGGTATCGTGGACTTCCTCGGCATAGTTATGTAATATATCAACTGTCAACCATGAACTACTAAAGTATCTGAACGCGTATTTAATCCTAAAACGAAGACATGCGGAAACAATTTTTCTTGTAATAAGAAGTACATATATGTATACTATCTATCTATCTATATATATATATATCTATATATATATATATATATATATATATATCTGAATATATTCTGCTAATAATCATCACTCTATATATATATATTTGTGCACACGACGCTAGTAAAATGTACCAGTCCATCAGTTGTCCAACTTTAATGTTTGTGTGGGCCTATTTACATTTGCACTCGTGTATCACGCTATAAAAATCGCACCGCTATAAGGGTGTATACATGTGCATATATCACAGGTACCTGGAACATCGAAATCACGCCCATAGACTAGACAATATTCACAAGAACATACTGAGAGCTCTGATTGCACGAGTAACTCCGTTCTGACTGTCCTTACAGCTGTACATAGAGTCCAGAACTATTTGTGGCCATTTGGACTGAGTGGATTACAACTCATAAGTTGACAAATGCACCCCAAAAGACCGGACGACGAACTTGAATATATTATATCAAACGTGTTTGCAGCGCAACTTCATCTCGCGCTACGGATATATGAATATGTACTGTTCACTATGATTGAGCAGGCACGAGAAGGTAACAAGCGATATGGACACTTACCACAACAAACGTATCTCACATCAGGACTGAAACTCGCAGTGGTCTGTGAAATTTCGTTTTTGAATCCGTTCAGCGATGCTTTGTAGTCACCCTGCAGGGCAGCCGAGACCGAATAGTGAGACAATGTGGGCTGCACAGTGGTTGCGGAACACATCCCAAAATCAGACCCCAATCGTGCACTCAAATTTTGGAGCGCTAATTCTCAAACACGGATTCGGGTGAGCGGCACAGCCCTCCGTGTCATAATGCACTTACAGTGAACGCGTCGATAATGACAATCTTCGACCGAGAAGTTGTGAGCAAGACCAAGCGGCCGTCAATGCTGAACTCCATCCCAATGATATGTGCTCCCTCCAAGTGCTCTTCCACATTGCAGTTGAAGAAGGGAATCTATGAGCAAAAAAATGTGAGAAAAACAAGAAGAAATGTTAAGTAAGGGAAAGAGTGAAGTGTTAAGTAAGTGAAAGAGTGAAGTGTTAAGTAAGTGAAAGAGTGAAGTATTACGTAAGTGAAAGAGTGAAGTGTTAAGTAGGTGAAAGAGTCAAGGGTCTCTCACTAGTCGCGGTCGCTACATATGCACACAATCCAAGTATGACCTGCAGGTGGATACAGTAGTGCGGTTGACGACAGGTGTGGTGTGTTCATATATAGACCATGTGTGTACTCTATATAGGGAGCGGTGGGTTGCGCACAAAGACACCACTTTGTATAGTAGTCCGTCGAGACGTACGAAATTGCACTCAGACAGATGCGATTTAAATTGCAGACTTGTATGTACCTTATGCGCTATGTCAGCGTATTTTGATATATACATCTTCACCAGCCCGGGGTATATGGCCACCGCGAAGCATACTCCTGTGGGATCGTAAGCCACTACCGGGGCGGCACCGGAAGGAACCTCGAGCATACCCTGTATATGCATTTGTTCATTGCTTAAAACTGATTATAAACGTATGTATACATATATATAGACATATACATACGTGAGTATTACATTGTGATGGAACTTTGGTATGATACTAAGTAGGATCTCAATGCATATCCATCCACGCGATTCTAAGGCGCTCGCTCACCCTCTAGCCTCTGTTACATCTAAGACACGGACGCTGTTAGTAGCACCACTGTCTAGAAGTCAGGCTGGACAAGATAACAACCCCCCGCAATGCAACAGAAGATATCCCAGACATCTATTCGGTCATACAATGACTTAGAACAGCGCAACTATACGTCAGCATTCTACTTCAAATCTGTCCGCATACCACGCAATCCGGAGTTCTCATATCCCACACACGCACGGTTCCATCGTTGGATGCGGATATAAAGAGGTCGTTGTTTGGCGCTACCTCCAGTGACGTGACACTGTGGCAGAAAGTTTTGGAAAGAGACATACGTGCGATGAATATAATCTACACCAATGACGTTGGAGTATAGAGTGGGAGAAGAATGGACACCGAAGGCAGGACGTGTGAGGCGGGAGAACAGTCGACAGTGAAAACAGTAAACTGCGACGAGACAATCGTCCTTCCGCGGCAGCATAAACAAGCACGGTCAATGGCACAACTGTGTTTGTAACTGAACGTTGCTCCAGCCTGGGTTAGCTTTTTGATGCATACAAATCTCAATTTGTTTTTATACACGAACCAATGAGTAGCCATGCCATATAAACTGAATAAATACTATACTTACAAGTGGATGAACTGAATAAATACTATACCTTGCAGTGGATGTATGGCTGTACGATGCAGAGCTTTATAAATCTGCAAATATGTCTGTGCGTGCTTGTACAAGCTCCATACTTACTACCGAGTACGCAACTGTACAATATACATTGTATATTATATAAATAGTTGAATGAGTGTCCGTGTATGCCTACCAATCATGACGTACATATTGCCCACGCCGAGAACGCCAGAGAATACTCTTTGCATCTAACCGAATGGTATAGATACATACCTGGCAGTGTGTCCCGCAAATACACGGAGATACTTGTTATCATGAAATGACAAGTACCGGATAGTTCCCACATCGGAGTCGGCTGTGGGATGGTCGATAGAAAACACAATTGGTAAGTCTAGGAAGTTTCGCGCACTCTCAGCCGGTTAACATTCCCTACAACAACAAGATTGAGATTGGCATTTTGTCACAGTTGTATGGTTGAATACAATTTCAGTTTAATCCAAATATCTATTGCGTTAGCGGACCTACCAGTCGCTCGTGTAGAGCTGTGCAGTACCGTATTCTCTGCGTGGCCAAATCGGATGTTGCTGGCGCCATACTGTTTTGTGTTCGACAATTTGAGCGCTCTGCGATTGTCAAACATTAACGAGTGAATGATGTAAGGGGGTAGTATACAGATACAGTCTGGTTATATTTTAAACGGCGCGTGATGTGACATCCGAATATAACCATGAGGTACTGTAGATACGAACAAACTCTGTAAATACTCTGTAAATACGAACAAACTCAACCGGAAGTAGAGTACTATCTTTCCAGTATTTGCAATTGGCAAACCTGTTCGCTGAAAGAAAATGATACTGCAATTTAAAGTGGGACAGTACAATTACCAATTCATTTTCGACAAATATCCATAAAACCGAAGGTATTTAAAGAACATAGTGAATGAGTGTAGTGAAAGAGCAGGCATATAGTAAACATACAGAATTGGTGCACGTAAATAAATAGTAATATACATCACTAGACAGAATACATAATATATGCTAAGATAGGTAGACCTACACCAAATTCTTAGGAGTAAACTGTATTTTTTTGTCTTTGATATGC